CAACCTGCAATGAACACATGCATTAAATATGAAATGAACACTGAGACACAGTGCAGAACCACCTTAAAAACCAAACTGTGCTCAACCACCCTGATAATGTAAATAAAATATACTTTTAATATTAGTTAATGGTGCATGCTAGATTACCACCTTAAATATAAAATACTATATCATTAGTATTGGTGACATTAGTCAGTTAACTCTGTATGAACAACAATGTATGGATATGAATATTATTTCCCATAATGCAGTGCAGCATGAAGTACAGGAGAAATGGAACATATCTATTGTGATGTCTAAAGTATGTTATGGCTTTATTATATGGTAAATCACTACCAGTATGGAACAAACTTTGGAGTGAAACAAAACATCAGTATAAACACCACGGCAAAAGTTTGTGCGAGGATCACAGGGTAAAAGAAGAGGATTCAATCTCTTGGATTCTGAGATTGAAGACTTAAACTGATGGAAGGGATATGCTGTGTGTTAGTGGGGTACTGTGGTCAGAAATATCTGGTCAATCAAGTGGGAAGCTTTTGATAATTCTGGGGGCATGGATGTCCAGTTATTGAAAAACGGAAGACACAATATATCTTCTTAAACTGAACAAACAAAAGCAACAATTTATTAGGGTAGATGTACATATAATTTTGATGAAATTGGAACAAAATCTAATTAAGTTTTGTTGAAATGAAAAATAATTATTGCTTTTAATTTTGTGATTCAATGTAAGGCCGGGAAAATTAAATCTCTGTTTCTCGTTTCCACGCGCATCATTTTGATCTATGCGCCTCAGATGTTTGTTTTTTTTCCTTCTAAAGCATTCCAAAATGCACTTGTACTTGCACTTGTTTCAAATTTCACCCATTTTAGCTCAGTATTCAAAAAAAAAAAAGACCAGAGAAACAGAGATTTTTTTTTTCCTGGCCTTAGTACAATTATGATGGCTTTGTTGTTATTGACAAAATAGTCAAATGAATTTCAGTCAGAGATTTGAAATTAATCTGATGAACAATAAAAATGATATGGCCAAATTTAAAACCTGAAATTATAATCAGGTCAGGTATTTTGAATTAATGTTTTGTTGCGAACTGTGTGGAACCATGGATGAGATCTTTTGACCAGTTGCAATTGAGGAAACACGTAATGAAATAGGAAGTCTAGCATACAACATCTATAATTCTATCTTCCAAAGTGAATCAAATGCAGCACAAAATTCTATTCATAAGAAGACTTTTCAAGTTTTTACGTATTGTGGAGAAAATACAGTGAAGGGCATAAAGCTGTGGTTGTTATAAACATTTTATAAATATACATTTTTACAAATCGAAATGGATGCTAGATTTTAAATTGACCAATTCAAAAATGGTATTGCGATATCAATGTTAATAGTTCTAGTTAATATTAATGAGATATTTCAACATAATCAATCAGCAAGCGCCTCATTTTGAATACGTGAGCGGCTGCAGTAGCTATGTCACGCGAAGGTACGCACATTATGGGCACAGACAATGTATAGCTCTTGAGCCAATCACTATTGAAAATTTTTAATTTGAATAAAAGATGCAGATGATCGGCTTGTACAATTTTTCATAAATTATGTTTATAAGCATAGCGCCCCAGCTTTGTGCCTTTCACTGTAATAGCAAGAAGTGCTATATCATTCAAACACACGCACAGCAAACGCTCGCCATCTACGAGTACATACTCTTTATAACATTTTCAATTTCATCTGCATCTAAGATATCAGAGGCTAGAACGAGAGAGAAACAGAACATTTAAGAAATAATACACCGCAAAGAACTGTACCCGACCAATTTAGCACTCTCAGTCACCCAAGTAATTCCTCACATGAGATCAGAGAATGCTAATACAGCCATGTACGGTCAAGTTAAGTAAAGCATAAATTACAGAATACACAGCAAAAGGTGGTAAGTGCATAAAGATATTAGGATACTGGGACCTGTAGAGTGTGTATAATCATCATAAAAAAGTTGTTGTTTTAATGTACTTATTTTCCGATTGTGATGAAAAAAACAACATAAAGGTTCCCATTTTACAGAGGCTGTCACTTGTGATGTCTAACGTATCTCCATGAAACACCAAAGTCAGTATAATACTTAGATCACAATTAATCTTTTCACCACCAGTTCATTCTTTTCATTACAAAATACCGGTAGTCCCTTTTGTAGACTACACTTTCCTTCAGAAGATTGGGACAAAAATAATTAAATGAATTTTGAATAAAAACTGAAAATTGACTTAAATTTTGTCTGCTGGCTCCAAAAATAGGGTTTATTTCCAGAAATATTGAAGAATATAAGGACAAAGTACAGACAAATTTGAGCAACAAAGGTTCTGGTATGAAAAGTGGTTAGACTATCTCCAGAAATATTTATTCCCATTTCTATATATGTATTGGTCTATTAGCAATGCACTAAACCAAAAATTGTATTTATTATTCTGTATCATTAAAATATGACACAGACACACTTTTAATGCCAATAGACCAAATTATAAATTATGGAAAGTGAACCAGTTTTAAGGACAGCTTTTGTTTTACATTTATGCAGTCATTAATTCTTTTTTAAAATTGACATCATTTCTTCTTCTTCTTCTTCAGAAAATCTAATTTTAATTGAATCGAGTCATGCACTTTATGAAATTAATAATCCCAGTTTACCGATTTAATTTCAGCCTCATTTGTGTATGGATAGCAAGACATAGCATTGGAGGAGAGCATTCACAGACAGTAGAGTAACAGCTAAAGCTCATGAAAACCACAATCTACAAGGAAACCCCTCGAAAATAGTAAAATTGATTAGAAATGAAACTCTTGAAGAAAAAGCACACTAGTGACTGGCAAACTTGATTGGCAGTGTCGCTGTGACCTTGGTGTACTGATTTCACTTTGATTGTATCATACGCTATGTATTTACTCCAACAAGATTGAATGATAGCCAGGTGAGTTATATAGTCAAAGTTAGGAAAACATCACCACTGTCGTAAATACTGAGCAACATTTTCTATTGAAACTAATTAAGGATTAATCATTTGAAATGGAAGGTAAATCTTTTTATGTACATGTATAAGCAGAACTGTTTAATGCACTATCTGTTTTCCATATACCGGTACTATCCATAGCAAATTGTTTGATCACTGCTAGTTTAATACATTTTCTATTTTTGATATATATATCAGTACTATCCCATACAAAATTGTTCAGAACTTGATCACTGACAATTAATCATCAATTCTATATCCACCTTCAGCCTATTTCAAAGTGGGGGCCTTCATCTTGGGAAATAAATTGTGTTCACCATTCACGAAATTGTTAAGAACTATTTGATCACTGCTAGTTTAATACATTTTCTATTTTTGATATATATATCAGTACTACCGGTATCCCATACAAAATTGTTCAGAACTTGATCACTGATAATTAATCATCAATTCTATATCCACCTTCAGCCTATTTCAAAGTGTGGGCCTTCATCTGTGGAAATAAATTGTGTTCACCATTCACGAAATGGATTATTTATCTGATACGGTGAGCTATTATAGCTCTCTGAATTTTGCACACCAAGCTCATCATTTACCTGTATCCAGCCAGAATATATCAGTGATGGCACCCTCAACAGTACATGCATGCAGATAAATAGCTGCATAACAGAGACAATACAACTTTGGTATACTCGTCTTTACTGACAGTATGTCTCGTCCCACTGACTGACAGAATTAAAGCACAGGGGTCGTCACTTGCACACATGCGGGAATTGAGTCCCAAACGATGATAACAATGCACGCTAAAAATGCAAGGGCATCTGCCTCACATGCAGGTGACGACTCCGCTGCTTTAAGCCTCACGATGCTAGACACAGCCAATCAAGTATATGCCCAATATCACACTGGTGAAAATAAACAGCAAACACACACACTGCATGCAGCAACATGTTTTACTTGTGACTTAAAAACACTGAGGTAGGTTTTTTTCAAAACAGTGCTTTCACAACACGAAATTGACCCATGACCTTTTACCTTTGGTGAAATCGACAGCCCTTAAAGATCTAGGGTCTAGAAATGAACATGATTGAAAATTAAAGATACATTTTGTGATGATGATCAAAGCCGAGCAGGACATCCCTTTGTCAGCAGTATACTGTAAAATACTTTATTTTCACTTGGAATTAATTTTCGCTGTTTTCCCTGCAAGAATGATTCAATGAAAATAAAATCCAGTGAATATACCTTTTTTCCTATATTTTACATTCAACTCGTCGAAAATCAGTGAAAATAAATTCCATACAAAACATCCAAAAAGTCTCTTCAGCGAAAATTTATTCCAGCTAAAATAAAGTATATATAGTCACTATCTAGGTGCCCCAATGGGCCGTTCCGGTTTATATCTGTACTCCCACTTTCTCCTCATATCTTCTTTTCTGATTGTATAATGAGCCACACTATTGAACCTCAGTCTATTTAACCTGTCATGGTAAAAATTACCTTAATTTCTGTCAGATGCAGACAGAAATATTGGGGTCTTTATAACCTCTGTGTCAGAAATTCTAACTCCTTCTGACTTAGAGGCTTGGGTAGACGTTGGAGTGCATGGGCCAGATAATAACAGAGCACAGGAGGGTTAGACTTTTCATAAAAATGGTAGTAAGTGCCATATATGGAAGAAAGTGATATTCCATATAAGGTACTAATGTAGTCATTTGATAGCCATATATGGAAGTAAGTGACATACAATATATTTGATAGCCATATATGGAAGTAAGTTGCATGCCATATAAGGTAGTCATTTGATAGCCATATATGGAAGTAAATGACATACAATATATTTGATAGCCATATATGGAAGTAAGTTGCATGCCATATAAGGTAGTCATTTGATAGCCATATATGGAAGTAAGTGGCATACAATATATTTGATAGCCATATATGGAAGTAAGTTGCATGCCATATAAGGTAGTCATTTGATAGCCATATATGGAAGTAAGTGGCATACCATATAAGGTAGTCATTTGTTGACCTATAAAATATTCTTTTGTAATGGCTCAAATATAAATCCACAGGCACACAATTGTTTCCAGAACAGTGAGATAACAAAAAAATTATCACAGGAAAAT